TATTGTCAAAGTAAGGTTTTCTAAAATGTAAAATGTTATTCTCAGAAATGATAAATTGACTTGCTTCGGCAAGATAATTAAACCTCATTTCTAGAACCATAGAGCCAAAAGGTTCACGCAAGCCACCCAAAAATATTCGAAGTGCATGTGTATTGTAAAAAAATGTTTCTGCACTATGTAGTCTTATCAACTTCATTCATGCGTATCAATAAAATTGTGTAAAGCATTTGAATTTGAAAATTTTTGTGTACCATTGCAATGGTTACCTTGTCTTAATTGGTTAAGATCGAATAATAATCCATTTTCGTATCTTTGATCACCGAAGCATTGTCAATCAATTTCGAATAAATTCCGTAAATAATTAAATTCTGTACACAATTAGCGTTACTTGAGTTAGTAGTCTACTAGATGTTAATCAATGTGTTAGCAGTTTCCAAAAATGCTGTTAACTCTAATGGGTTTCCGTCATATTTGGGAACTATGTCTAGAAGCTTTGACTCGAACTGGGGAGCTTGTGGGACTGACATATCCGTTTCGGAATCGCTATTAAGCTAAATGCGGACAATCTGAGGTTAGTTTCCAAAACTGCCTGATACTGTTCGTTTGAAATACTAAAACTATACTCGGCTTCACTATTTTCCTGTTAGGAATTAGGAGACGAGGAGATTGACATAGACGAAATATACAAAGAATAGTGCGGTAACGAGCAAGCAAGCAGAAAATGAGCAACTTACTCCACTCATGAGGGCGCTGATTTTCATTCTTCTTGCTTCAGAACGTTGGATCGAGGGATGCAGCGAGTACAGTTGACCCCTTCGCTCTGGAAAGGCCGTATCCTGCCTGTACTTTCTCCCTAGCGATCTCCTCTTCGACCTGCGCCCACGGATATCCTCGATGAATGTCCTTGTAAGGATGGTAGAATCGATCCGCGATGCCTGCGCGACTGAAATTTCGAATTTTGAAATTTTTTTGATTTCTAAGTTACAATGCAAAGATACAATACTTGAACTGTATAATAAAATAACATGTATATCGTTGAAACTAATCTAAGCAGGTTCAGCACACTCTTATGGTAGCGTGATGGTGGACCTTCTATTGCAAGGTAAGGGATTTGTAGCAACATAAATACCACGAAAACCAGTGGCGTGCATTGACTAGGTTTAATAAATGGTAAGCTTCTACGCTACTGGTTGACGATAATATACGCATATTATTGTTGTAATGAGGTGCCATATAATGTGTCCAATATCAAATTATTTCAGAATAGGGTAAACTAAACCTTTTCATATGTATATTTTAGGATTTTACATCACATGTTCAAACCTAGATATCTCGCGTAAAAATTATGAAAAAATTAAATATATTTTATAAACTCTACCGATTTTCTCCGAAAAGGCCAGTGGCATGGAAAATACTTCCTACTAGGGGTCTAGGTACCCCAGTTTCTACGTCCCTGGTACAGTTTGGGCCATGAAACACTCGTGTCTTTTCAGGGGTGTTGGCAGCCCAAAGCATGAATTCGAATAAGAATGGTAAGATTTTCCAAACAAAGCAGTGAGAAAATAGTGAGTTTATACATAAAAAGGCAAGTTAATTTTCTGAGAAATTGAATATAGTGCCAAATTTCTACGGTTAATATAAATAAGGTGTAAAAAAACGAGAATAACTCTTATAAGGTCTTTGTTACTGTTTTACTGACGTATACAAAAATATTTATTTATACGTATGCATAGTTAAGAACAAATGCACACAATGCATTAAATAAAATTTGAAAATATCACAAATTCTTGTAAATACGGGAGACGTATTAATGTCTATTAAGTAGGGGAAAGTCGCCTATATCGTACTGGCTCCTTAATCGTACCTTGTCGATATTTCAGATATTACGCTTATGTGTAAAACATCTTTCACCACAATTAGAAACCCTCAAGTTGGCAACCAGTAATACCAGCAAAAGTTTGACAGTAGCGCTTATCGCTCCCGACATATTTAACGTTTTATTTTGTGCGGCAAAGTGATATAAAGTTTGGTCGATCTACCGTAAGTAGTTTTGGATATTTTAGTTGACTAAGCCTAAAATCTGTTGTATGCCTTTAAGATTAACAACTTTTATACACTTTTTGATAACTTTAAACATAACGTTATTTCTATAATTTCCAGAAAAACTTTATCTTTATTTATTTGGTGTAAAGTTGCCTTGATCGTACCAGTAGAGATTGCCTAAATCGTACCGGTACGATTAAGGCAATTTATACTGGTAGGTATATATTGAGATGGCCCGCGAGAATGGGGTTATTATTTTACAGCTGCCAGGTCATACAACCCACCGTTTACAACCACTTGATGTGGCAGTATTTAAGCCATTCCAGGTCTATTATGACCAATCGGTTGAAAAATGGTTGAGAGAACATCCCGGGAGAACAATCGGTCAATTTCAGGTGACCCGATTAATCGGAGAAGGATATGGAAAAGCAGCATGTGTCGCAAATGCCATAAGTGGATTTAAAAAATGTGGTATATGGCCTGTGGATAGAAACGTTTTCACAGATGTTGATTTTGAAGGCGGAGATCTTCAAACTGAACCAAAACAAAAAGCACTAGCGGAAAGCAAGGACGCTGACGATACACCTTCGAGCGATGATGATGTGCCCTTGGCGCTTTTAGTTTAAACAGAAATCGTGCGCCACCTCTGAAACTCAACCACCCGATGTTTCTTTCGAAGACATTCTACCAATTCCAAATAGTCCTGGCAATCAGAAAAATGCAAGTAAACGTGCAGAAGCTGCAAAAGTTTTAACTTCAACCCCATATAAGGACGAATTAAAAGCAAAGCAATCTACTATCGAAGAAAAGAAAAAGAGACTGGCAAAAAGAAAAATAGCCAATGGCCAACCGGAAAAAAGTAAAAAGGAAAAATGCTTCGTATGGTTCAAATGACGTAGTGGTAGAAATAGTAGAGGATGAGTGGCTTTATATTATATGTAATGAGTGTCGAGTAGAAAATATGATACAGTGTTCCTTGTGCAAGCTTTGGTTCCATGAACTTTGTGCGAGTTATGAAGGAAGTTCTTCGTACTTTTGTGACAGTTGTTCCTAAATAACACATCTAGTTATTATTGTTTGTCCTGTTTCGTTTTTTTTTTGTAATACCAATCTACACACGAGCATATTAAAATTTGTATTCTTGTTTAAATACTACTGTTATGCTACCATACTTAACTGGTACGATATAGCAGATCAGTACGATTTAGGAAACCTAGTGGTACGATTTTGGCGTCTGGTTTCCCAAGTCGTACCATTTGCAATGTTTATAAAAAATGTATTTTTCTCTTAAATTAGATAAGTAGCCACAACAAAAGAAAGTAGAAATATGTAAAAATTATTTAGTTAAATATTTAAAATAAAAAGAGCCCCTTAACATTGAAAATGTTAGCTTTTTATACATTTTTCCGAAAAATGGTACGATTTAGGCGACTTTCCCCTATTATTGCCCAATTGACTGAAGAACCTTCATTTTAGCGAATTATCTACTGTTAAAAAATGTTTATAGATGAGTATTTCTTACAGAATAAAATTCGCAAACAGAAGGAAAGTGGATTCGAGGAGCAAATAGGATAGGTGTGGTTAGATGTCGCCTTAAAAATTCGAGGTCTTCTAGCCATTTTATACTACAATGTGTAGATTGGCTCTTGTTGGGGACGTGTCATTTTTTCCCTCTCCATCTTCGTTCCCTCAAGTTACTCCATCATACGGATGTATGGGCATGTGTATCTACTCTTGTGGTTGCATATGTGCATTCATTTCGGGCCTGATGACGTCAACAAGCAGAAATACTTATTGCTTGGGTTACCTATCCTATTTTCTGCTCGAATCCACTTTCCTTCTTTTTGTGGATTTTGCTCATTATTTTCCTACATAATGAGCCGTTGAAAGCCAGGATGGTCCAAGTCCAAATTTTCAGATATCGAGGTTCTATGTGCATACTGTTCTGGATGGAGGAATCTTTGCCTGGGAAAGTTTTGAAAAATGTATATTTTCGTTTTGCACACAGATGGCACCAGTCTGTTTTTATATGTCAATGGAAAGCTGTAACCGTTATGAGGTAGAATGAGACAAGTGTGACTTAGCTCACTCTGGTTTTCAGTAGTGTGCTACGCTTCTGAAGCACTCATTTGTTTACATTCTAACGGTGGTTCGAGCATAAGAAATTTCAGTGTTGGAAAATTCTGAGCTGTTTGAATCGACATCATCAGGTAATTGAATCCATTGTTTACTGAAAATTCTGATCGTAACATAACCTCACTTTTAGATAGTTCTTGTCGGCGGGAATCCCCCAAATCCAAGCGGTTGGCACGAAAGCGCCTTAGAGAGCCAGATTCGCATATTAATACTATTCGAAAAAGGAGACGAAACCATGCCGAGGAGTATATCGGAACATCAGGCAAGGTGGTATCTGCTAAGATATTTGCAAATGTAGACTGTAAATGCAAGATGCAGTGCTGCAACCGAATCGAAGAAGAAAGAAGAAGGCTTGTCTTTGAACGTTTTTGGGAGATAGAAGATTTCTCTGCTCAAAATGCATATATATATATATATATATATATGCGGTTTGGTTAAGCAATGTGCGATTAATCGACGACGACCCAGAGACAACACAAGACAAAATACAAAGAACACAACCAACTCATACTTTATAAACATAGAAAATATCTCAGAAAAGGTTTGCAAGTCTTACTTTCTACAAACCTTTCAGATATCGAATGGACGTCTTGGGAGGGCATTAAAGCGAGCACGAGTCTCTTCTCCAGGAGAAGATTTACGTGGAAGGCATATACCTGTAAATAAAACCTCAGAAGAAAAAATACAAGCAGTTCGAGAACGCATCAACAGCTTTCCCGCATATCAGTCTCACTACTCGAGAAGTCACAACCCAAATAGAAAGTATTTGGATTCAAAATTGAATTTGAGGCTCATGTACAACCTATACAAAGAACGGTATAATGGGGATAGTATCTGAAGCAACTTTCAGGCATGTATTCCACCATGACTTTAACCTACACTTCCACACGCCAGCCAAAGACACGTGTGTGCGGTGTGACATTTTCAAAGCAAAACTTGACTGTGCAACTGATCAACATGAAAAAAATACGTTAAACAGGAGCATTCGTTGCACCTGCGCAAAGTTGAGAAGGCAAGGCAATGTCTGGCGAACGATAGATCGGCGTGTATCCTAGATAAAGGTAAGCTCTATGGATTTACCTTTGATTTGGAGAAAGCTTTACTATTTCCAACATTAACATGCTCCTTGGCATACTACAAGAGGAATATGTACGTGTATAATTTTGGAATACATGAACTCGCAGAAGATGAAAAAGGTTTTATGTATGTCTGGAACGAGACTACTGCATCACGTCGGACAAATTACGGCACTGCTATGATGAATGATCTAATATGTAGAGTTGCTTAGGTTTGCACTTTTCGATTCCTTTGTTCTAGCGTAGGTTATAAGTAAGAGATGCATGTAAACCAAGGTGACCAGTACTCATTCGTCTTCTGTTAAATCTTTTTTAAAAAGTCGTTCGTTGTTTGCACATTCTTAATTGGCGCTGCGAACAGGATATCGGCGTACCGAATCGATAATCGGCGGTATTGATTCACGAGTATCGCTCAATCGAGACCGAAAAAGTGCAAAAAATCGTTTGGTGTGTTCGGGTACGATTTCAATCGTTTTGACGTCGATCACAAAGAACTTCGAAGGCTACACCGAGCAGGCACATCACCATCGAAGTACCAGGCCGAAATACTTGCTAAGTATTTTGGGAGCAGGCAACGACACTTGAGAAAACGACAGGAACTGACAGGAGCGAGGTGCTGGATCCACGGCAGGCAAGCTGTCAACCAGGAGGAGCTGTATTGGCCCAAGGAGGTATCTCAGATCTCTCCAAATGAAGCTGCTAGTGCCCAGTGTAGCGTAAGAAACAACATTTACAATTTTTGCTGTACTCAATGATTTTTGCATTTATTTCTCGAAACTTGTTCGCCCTCTATTGCTTTACATTTATATACTATACTCGTAAAAGCTATCTATAAGTAAACTTATTTAGTGACTTTAATTGCATATATTTAATGTCCGATTCTGAATTTGAATCTGTAGTCGAAAATACACCTGTTAGACAAGTTATTTTGACACCCTCACGTCTTAATTTTAATCAGTCAACCATGTCTCTTCAAGATTTACAAATTAAATTCAATGTAGCTAAATATATGGTACCAGAATATCATGGAGGTTACAGAGATCTAATTTATTTTTTGGATAATTCAGAAAAGTTTATTGCAGAATTTGTTAATACACCTTTTGTTTCGTATGCTTTCCAATACGTTATTTCTCAGCTGAAAAGCAAAGTAAGAGATTTAGTGCATCTAACTAGTCCGAGAACCTGGCCAGATTTAAAATCATTATTATTATCCAAATATACAGATCCTAGAAATGAAGAAACTCTTCTCACCGCCTTATATACGTCAGTTCAGAAACCTAACCAAAAATATGAAGACTTTTATCAAGAAATTAAATTTAAGGTACAGAGCCTGAAAGAACTTGCAAATTTAGAATACCATGATAATCCCGATCATATCGCTTTTAAATTGAGAGACTATGATAGACAGTCTTTGAGCTCCTTTATCTCTGGTTTGAATGAACCATATAGGTCTTATGTAAGACAGCAAAATCCTACTACAATTGATTCTTGTGTTCAATATTGTCGTGATTATGATAATTTGCAAATGCAAGTTGATTACAAAAATTTCTTAAGAACGAGCCTATATAAACGACAGCAGCCTCAGTCTCAGAATAAAGTACAAGCTTCAAATCAAAATTTCCAAAGGTCTAATTTTAATTTTTCTCAAAAGCCCAATCAGTTTAGAGCCCAAAATAGTCAAACTTGGCTAGAGCCACAACAAACCTTCCCTACAGGTCCCACGCAACTACCGCCACCTAAACAAAATTTTAAACCTCATTACCCTACGAACATTCAAGCTTTCAGACCATCACAGAATGTTTTTTCCAAAAAACCCATTCCAGGCCAACAAAAAAGTAATCCTATACTTATGTCTGTATCTACAGCACGCACACCGAAACCCCAACAAAACCCATATCGTCAACAAATGCCCACTAGAGTTAATGCCTTTCAAGTAGGTCTCAAACCAAACCATTATTATGTCGAAGAAATTACTCATCTTGAAAATGAGGAAGAACAAACTTTTGCAGGAACGCCACAATATGAATCTGAGGAATATACCCAAGATTTCGATTCAGTCTATATCCCCGATGAATCTTATTTTGAAAACAATGACGAAGAAAATTTTCCTTCGACGAGCCAGTCTCAAAATTTGACTTAGATATAAATAATTATCAAAAAACTCATCTTCCGTATATTTTTTGTTCTCAGTTTAATCGTATCACCTTAATCGATAATGGTGCATCATCCTCCCTGATCAATCCAGAAATTGCTTTTAAATATTTTCCAGATCGATGTACGTCCAATTTTAGAGGTCAATATGCCTGTAAAATTCCCATATTTTCTGAATGGAAGAATAAAACTGAAATTGAATTTTTAATTCTTCCTTGGCATTCACGTTATGACTGCTTATTAGGATTCTATGATTTACAAAAGCTTAATTGCTCTATTGATTTGACTAAACATCAGATTATTACTGATAAATGTAAAATTACTTATAACACTTCTTTTAAGCCAATTCGAGAAAACAATCCAGTTCAGTATAGTTACCCGAAAAAATTATTAATTATCCGAAATTTGGATAATGGTTCTGTTGTTATTCCACCTTTGAAATTCAAAAATTCTGACGAATATTTTCCTGAATGTATCTGTAACGTAGAAAATAATGCTATTCAATATCCAATTGACATAAATCTTCTTGATATTTCCAACCCATTTTTATCTGAACCTCTTGATGATTTTCTAATTGAAAAAGAATCTCCATTTTCTACTGAAAAATCCAATATAAGTGTTGAAAATTTAATTCGTACGTCTCATATGAATAGTGAAGAAAAAGAAAAGATTATTAAGCTCTGCAAGCAATTAAAACAGGTATTTTTCAAGCCTAACGAACCATTAACTCCCTGTAATGCCACTGCACACAAAATTAGGTTAAAAAATGAAGACCCAATTTATGTAAAAAATTATCGATATCCTTATCATCTCAAAAAGAAAATCCAAAATCAAGTTTCCAAGTTATTGAATGATGGAATCATTCGACAAAGCAATTCACCCTATCAATCACCCTGCTGGATAGTTCCTAAGAAAATGGATGCATCCGGTGTTAAAAAATATAGGATGGTTATTGATTTCAGAAAACTGAATGAAATAACCATTGAAGATAAATTTCCACTCCCACTAATTGAAGAAATTTAGGCAAAAGCATGTATTTTTCTACTATTGATTTGGCACAAGGGTTCCACCAGATCCCTATGGATCCTGAGTCTATAGAAAAAACGGCTTTTACTGTTGAAAATGGCCACTATGAATATGTCCGTATGCCATTTGGGTTAAAAAATGCCCCTGCTACCTTTCAACGTATGATGAACACTGTATTGTTAGAATATATCCACGTTTTTTGTTTTGTCTATATGGATGATATCATTGTTTTTTCGAAATCCCTAGACGAACACATTTTGCATCTTCGAAAAATATTCCAAAAACTGAATCAGTTTAATTTAAAAATCCAACTGGACAAATCTGAGTTCCTGAGAAAAGATGTTCCATTCTTAGGTCATGTCATCACGCCACAAGGCATACTTCCAAACCCAGATAAAATCAAAGTAATTCAAGAATATCCTCTCCCTACTACGATTAAAGAAATTCAGCCATTTTTAGGCCTTATGAACTATTATCGTAAGTTTATTAAAGGATTTGCACAATTGACTAAGCCATTCACAAAATGTTCACGTAAAGATGAAAAAATCAATATCAATAATCCAGATTATATCAATGCATTTAAACTTTGTAAAGAAGCTCTTTGTAACCCACCTATTCTGGCTTATCCTGATTTTTCCAAAAAATTTACATTGACAACTGATTGTAGCAATATAGCCCTATCAGGAGTTCTTAGTCAAAATGATAAGCCTATTGCTTTCCACTCTAGAACATTAAATTCTGCTGAACGCAATTACAGCGTTATTGAAAAAGAACTATTGGCAATAGTTGATTCTTGTAAAACATTCCGTCCTTATTTATTTGGTCAAAATTTTCTAATCGAATGTGATCACAAGCCCCTAGTTTGGTTGAGTTCTTTATCAGTGCCCAATCAGCGATTGATTAGATGGAAGCTTCAGTTAGAAGAATATAATTTTTCAATTAAGTATAAAAAAGGCAAAGACAATGTTGTAGCCGATGCACTTAGTAGAATTGAAATTAACGCTTTAGAGGATGACGATTTTTTATCCATTTTACCACAAGTAGATTCTGTAGAAGAATTAACAACCCAAGAACTTGATGAAATCTTGAATGAAGATAATTTACCTTTATTTGATTTATTAGATGAAATGCCGTTAGATGAACGACTCAAAATTGTTGAGCAATCTGATGTTACTCGACATTCATCTGCACAAAATCCTATCAATCATATATTGTATCAAGAAAAGAATTTCTATTTTTTCAAAAATCGAATACATTTTCAGTTAAAAAATCAGTCCAAAATAACAAAGTCTTGCAATGCAACTTTAATGGTAACAGTCCGAAGTGGATCTGAAACAGAGCAACTTTTGAAATTTATGAAGGAATATCTTCAGCCCGATCATACTTGGTATTTGGTATGAAAATCAACTTTTAGAATTCAAACTTAACGAACTTTTAGAACAGTATTTTTCGAACAGCGGTATAAGATTTGTTAAAGCTTCTTATAAGCCTATATACCTACTAAAAGACTCATTTACAGAACAATTGTCTTTCTATCATAGCCAAACGCATAATGGTATCAATGAAACTTACAGCCATTTCAAGAAAAAAGCATTCACTCCAAATATGAAAAAATAATATCAAATTACATTAATCAGTGCAATACTTGTTT